GGGAAATCCCGTCAACTTTCACTTTGCTTGCTGGAAATTGGCACCTGGTACTAGACGCGCCACTGGTCCGCCACCCGTGTATCTGCTACTCACGCTATCCACACCCCTCTGTGGCTTTCCTGCGAAAATAATGATAGTGCGATCGCTATTTTGCGACGTCGATGTATTTTGCCGATGTTCTTGCCTCATTAAATCGCTGGACATGGCGGAGAAGAGAAGAACAGGTTATTAAGCTAGCTTAAAAATTAGGCTTTGACGACCAATATTTATTCAAAATAAAGGTTGCGTCGGGTGGTGACGACACATTTATACTCATGCAATCTAATACAAAAACATTTACTGTGAATTATGAAGCAAAGGCCTAAAAATATATATTCTACGTTTTTACCCCGACCCGAAAGACAAGAGCAACGTAAGAATTCCCGTGCACTATGCTGAGCAACGTCATGGCAGCTTGCTGAAAGGTGACGTGGTGCTGATATCGTTTTTTGTAGGGACTGTACAGGTCACCGAACTGTACATCGCACTCTCATACACTTTGCCCGCTTAAGCGGTGTTCACGACATGACATTACATCACACGATGACAAATAAAGATCCCTGATGTTGGGTTTTAAATATTCATATTTGTTTTAGCTTCACGCAGGTTTCTGCCACAGCAAACCATAACAAGAAACCCAGCATGGCTTTCATGTTAAACGGTGTACATATTATACTTTGCAAGTGTAGTATATAAATTGCGTATAAATCGTAATTGGTTTAAAGCATGCACCCATTTTTTCCCCAGGTGTTTAATTGCCTCTTCCAAGGTAGAGAAAGGTGAATGTATTTAGTTTTCATCATGCAAATTGGTCATGGCTGCATCTAAGCGAGGCGACAACTCGAGGCCTCCTGATTGGCTGAGGAGAGACGGCGTTCGTGGCGAAAGCTGATTATTAAAAAATATATAAATGGATACACCGCAGTTGGTCGACAGGACTCGCACTTTCAGACTTTTAAATTCGCGTAAAGTGGGGGTGGGGTGGGGGTAACTCCAACTTTTTCCAAGACGTCTGGCCAGCGTAGAAGGGTCGAGACAGAAATACAAACGAGTAGGGGTACTCTTAGAGCTCCCTCCAGCCGAGTCCCAGTGGCTCGAGCAAGACAATGCAGGGCTGACGGCTTTACAATGTATTACCTCGCGCCTCAGCGATGTGACATCCATTGCGTCGTCATCGCTCGGCTTGCGATGGTTTTGCTCGAAAGGCGCCTAATGCGCAGCAGGGCCCACACTTGGGGGGACTTTACAATCGGCCCACCGTGGTTGATGGGGTTTTTTGCCTCGGCTGGACAGGATGTCAGCTTGAATCAGGCAGTGGACAAACACTGCATGGATGCCGTAAATTTCCAGGGCTGGAGATATCTGACAAAAATATCCCAGGATTGCATAGTTTGAAAGAATGTTGCAGAACAACACAAAAGTGCTATAAGACTACAGCTCTCGTAGGAGAGCTCGGGTATTGATTCTGCTCTGCAAACACATTAATCTTTTGAGTGAATAATGGAAGTTTTTTTTAAAAAAAGAACCTGCAAGCTTCATCTCCTGGGGCACAGTTCGCCATCAGAGGAAAGTGCTGAAGCTATCCATGACTACTTCACATTCGGGCTCGGTGTGATTTACAGTTTGACGTCCAAAGGAAACCAGGATCGTTTGAACATTCGTGTTAAGTCAATTCTATCACAGTGGATTTTTTTATATATACAGCCGTGATCATGCAACAGCAAAAAATATTTCAATGCAACACCAGCAAGAAAATAAAGAATGTTCGCTCCACTAGCGTGAATTATTAAAATCGTCAAACATTTTTGGGTTAATTGTGAGTTCAAGAGTCAAAGGAATCTCCAAAATTTGTTGAAAATCTTTCATGTAATTTCACAGCAGCCATATACAGAAACTTCACGATCGTTAGGCAAAACTAATCAAACCGAGCGGGTGTACGGCATATCAGCGCTGCACGTCTTTCAATTAATCCTCAAAATTAAATTACTTTTTACCTTCTTCGACAAGTGCCATTTCATTTATTTTTTTAACGTTTAACCTTACGATTGTGTGACTGGTGTCGCGTTAGAAAAAAATTCCATTCGGAACCCTTCACGGTGAGCCAGCGGTGCATCATCACCTTGTGGCAAAACAATGGCCCTGGCGTTGTGACGTGGAGGGTGTCTGTCTCTGATCACGATTGCAGATCCGCAATTGCCCTTCTGAAGATAACTTTTTTTTATAAAATTTTGCCGTGTCACAATTAAGATTAAATTATTTATCTGTTTCATTAAAATGTAAAATATATATTTTTTAAAATTTTAATATCTATGTGACGTTACCGAAAGAACCAAGAATATGAATTCCTGCAGTCACGAAAGTTTCAAGTCAAAATTCCACCATCCCCTGCCTGGTGCCAACTGTTGTTGAGTCGCCCCACTTCTCCAGAAGACAGAACACAGCGCAGTCTCTACTCATCGTCTCCGAACTTTCTTATTTTTATTGTTGTTGTCCATTTAGCTGACCTGTCCCCCCCCCCCACTTCGAAAGGATTCATGACGGGAGGAGAGGGGGACAGGGGAGACCGACTACAAAGGTACAGGTCTACGTTTGTGGTCGCTTCGTAATAATGATCGTGATTTGTGTTGGATATGGCATCCGATACACCAGGGACGTCTTAAAAAGCTTTACATCTCAGCCATCACATCACCTCAACACATTTAAATGGGGCAGCCCCCCTCCCACCCCCCCCCCCTCCCAATGGCAGCTGTCCCTGTGTGGCACAAGGTGACTCAGGACCTGGAGCTGCAAACGGGCATCAATATGCTGCCAGTAAGGGGTGGACGTGGTTGGGGGGGGGGGGGGACGATTGCTGCTGTGTGTGATTCCAATCGAGAAATTTGACGGTAATTTAATACTTGGAAAAAAGTCATGCAACCTCTTCTCCAGACTAGCCATACATTTTAAATGCCCTGCAAAGTGTGTTTGCTACAGATCAACCAAATTAAGTGAAGACAAATATAATTAAATTCAGTGTGTGTGGGTTTCTTTGGCGTGTGTGTGTAGTGACAGCTGAATGAAGCTGAGAAGAGCAAATCACTACATTTCATGGCCGACTTCCCAGATTCCATCGCAAGAACGCCACGCCTCATTTGCTGACAAGCTATGAGCTCTCGTGGGCCACCTGGCCAGCACAAATGAAGTGACAACTTGAACCACTCCATTAGGCCAATTCTGACCGGTTTGTCACGTGCTAAGTTCGTTGAACGCCTCCTTAAGTCACCACACTTATCATTAAAAAGTGAAAATACGTTTAAATATATATACTGAATGCAAATGTATTGTGCTTTCCATAGACCTTGTGTGGGTTTTTTTTTTCCATGAGATAAATTGAATGTGTGTTTCCTGTAACTTTCCATCCTTTGTGCGCTCGTTCATTTTTTATTTTATTTTTAATTAACTTTACGTCATGAGCAGGCAGTATGCACCGATGGCCTTAAGTCTCCAACGAATAAGTTTGTATTGTTTCCAAGTTCTACATTTGAGCTGCCCCAGTGCTTGAGTGCTCAAAGAGAACCCGGGAGAATACCTACAGTACGCATACGACGAGTCAACACTGACAGATCGGCAGCCAGAGGTATTGTTATGGACAATCTGACGAAAAAATATGTTTGGCCAATTCAGTATCGGAAAGTTTTGTATGTGACAGAAAATTGGAGAAATGCATACAGGGTGATACTACTCAATGTGGGCTCATGAATCCACTTGCTGTACTGCTATCTCCTGGCCACCTCCAAACCCCAGTAAAGGTTTGAGAGCTTTACAATTAATATGATCGACAAACCTATGTCTCCAAGGGTGCTGGATTACAGGCATATGCCACCACACTTTAAGTAGTAAAAAACAAAACTGCTTTAGCAACGTATTCTTATATTCCACGGTCAGTTGCCAACACAGTTGAAAATTTGTACAATTCTGGAGGCCTTTGTAAAATTTCTAATAAAACTGAACATCATATAACCACGTGGTAGCAAGTGCACACTGAGCCTATGTAGTAACAGGGCATTCATTTCAGCAGTTAATTAAATTCCAAGAATGACTTGTATTGCACCACGTTTGTTCCCTCTGATTACACATTGCGTCTTTAAATATTTAATGCATTTTGGGCCAGATTTAAATCTTCAACGCAAACGACTGAATAAAATAGCCGAAGCAATCTTTTTCGACAATGGAGCCAGTCGGCACACGTTGCCCAAAAAAACCCCAAAACGTTACCAAAACGGTGACATATCGGTACCTGTGCAGGCCCTGCGACTGCGATCTCGTGCCACTGTTCGCGGAAGAGCAACCGTTCGAGAGTGTGGCTTTGAGACATGTCCATTTAGAGAGTTTTCTGTACCAACTCTTTCAACGCTGGCCGGGAATCTTGGAAGAGGCAGGGGGTACCCACACATTACCTCACCACGTGACCTGCCAATCAAACTAAACAATGCTTTTTTTATTTTACTAGGTAAGGCCCACTGAGCTGCTATATAGCTCTTTATCAGAAGCACAGTTGGCCCTACCTGGTAAAATAAAATTTTAATTAGCATGTTTTGTTTACGTGACAAACCTTACTAATTGGCTTTGTCGGATGGTGGCAGGTTAAACAACACATTTATCTAACCCCAAAAAAACCTCTATTATGGATAATATTGTTCGCGAAAGCCTATGTGTTCAATTGGGCCAATGTTGGGATTTGGTTACAACGCTCGGATTCAAAGTTGGGGTTACTGGGACCGCAATAAAACAGATTTCAGCAGTAATAAGAGACAGCCACTGGAAACGAATCATAAATGAATTACCCTTTGAAGGGTCTAAAAGGGCAAAAGGGTGGATTATTATCGGTCCATTTCAATACGCACAGCATCCTGCTGTTGTAATTATTTTTTTAACCCACTATTGCAGTGCAAGCGGATACAAATGCTTATTCGGAGCTGTACCTGGCGCTGGTGGTGATCGCCGCTGCTGCTTTGGAAGCCACCATCCTGGGACCTATCCATCTTCTTGGCATCTCCGTGCCTTGAGTAGCACACTGCAAAATTGCAGACAAAACATCTTTAAAGAAAGACAGATGTGGCGGGTAAGCAAGAATGTGCGTTTACATGACCTACGTAACAGGAAAATAAATCAAAACCATTGCAAACACATACACAGCCCGCCTGGTGAATGTAACAGTAGGGTTGCCGCAAAATATACTTTTACAATGATGTGATGATTACCGCTTGATTGTGTATGTGACATGGCAGCACCACACTTCGTGTGGTAGAATGCACACAGCCCTTTTTATTTCGGACCACCAACTCAAAAGAGTAAAAATTGTGGGCCACGCTATTTTACACAGCATCAGGAACAACGAGACAACTATTTGCCATTCTATTCCTTGTCAGGAGTCATTGGTAGAGTCTGACCACCGCTGCCTGCATTGTACCTCAGGTAGGCACATAGCCACTGTGGGTGTTGACTTCTTGTGAAAAAATATTCACCACTCTATTGCAGCAATCAGTGTCATTGTGTGCATGCAAGGTTTCTTTATGCCTTGGTTGTAATTTGTTATTTGTGTTCAGATTGTGAGGAGCGGCAGCGTAGCGGTCTAGCCACGCTGCGCTACGAAACTGGCAGAAACCCGAGTTCGATTCCGGCTCATGGCCAACACCAGTGACGATTATCTGAACCGGTCATGGGCCTCCCCTAGGTCGACTCAACCTCCAATGAGTATCTGGTGTGGTGGGTAGTAAACATTACCACTAGGGAGACAAAGGCGGCCGGGCGTGGTGTTGGCCACCCACACCCTCGTGTGCCGTGCCGGCCTTCATAGATGCTCACTAACAGCACTTGCCCCAACAGTCTGTTAAGGCTAAACGGGGGATCTTTGTCTTTGTTTTCTTTAGATATTTGTTGCAAGTTGTCTACTTTACTCTTTGGTTCTTTCGGTAAAGTCACATAGGTATAAAATAAAATAAATAAAATCACGACGTTTCGGAAGCAGCCCTCAAAGACGCTTGTATTGCTTCCGAAACATTGTGATTTAATTTAATTTATTTATACCCTTGTGACTTTACCGAAAGAACCAAAGGTAGTCACGAAAACTTTAGATCTAGATTGAATCAGATTAATTTAGTGCTGCTATGTTGCTAATCATGATCATCTGCCATTCTCCGCTAACCTCTGGATGGAGACGTCAATAATAATAATATTACCACAGCTGGACCCGTGTAGATGACATTACTTACTCCAATAGGCAGCCTGATATCATTATTGTTACCTCCCCTTTCTTCAAACATTCATACGAATATCTCTTTAGGCTGGAATTCCATCAGAGCTACACCGAAGTTGTGTGTCCCTGGTAATGTATTTCGCTCAAGTTGGCTCATTTCTGTTAATTGTCTCCGGCTGTAAGTTATTCAGCGGTCTCCTGTTATCATCTAAAATATTCAAAATGTACCCGCCCTGCGTGTTCTAATAAAACAGCAAGGAAATAAAAACATATATACCGATGCTTATCGTTGAACACAACAGTTTCAATTACAGACCAGCTTTGGACATAGACCAATTAAAAGATACGAGCAGCCCGTTTTTTTCTAATCTACATGCGCTCGCCTAAAAACGCTCATTCCCTAGTGAATAGCAGCAAGACGTGGGTGGGGAGACCGCGCGGGTGTATACCGTCGTTCTCTGCGAGCGCGTGGTTCAGGTTGTCCACCATGCGCGTGAAGCCGCAGTCCAGGCTGCGGCGGTGCAGGTCCTTGGCGTGCCGGTCGGCCTCGGGCAGGGAGTGGCACGAGCCGAACTGCTCCCTGGAGTCGGCGGAGATGGGCGGGAGGGGCCCCGCGGCGGCGCGGGCCATGCCCATGGGCTGCACCACGGGGCTCAGTGGGCTCTCGTCCTCGTCGGAGTTCTGCTCGGTCAGCGACAGCCGCCGGGCACCCTGCGAGATGGGCAAGCTGGACGGCTTCGACCTCATCTTGACGCCCGCGTTGAAGGGACCGCACGGGCCGTCCGCCGGCTGGCCCCCACCTCCCTGGCAATTCTGCTTCGAAGTCGAGAAGTCCAAGTCGTACACGGTCGATGGCCTGGACCTCCGGACGTCCAAGCCGGAGAACGAAGAGGAGCGCGTTCGGCTCATCACGGACCTGTAGGCCGAGAAGGAGCACGAGCGGCTGCTCGTTATGCCGCAATCTGGCGGCGGCCTCGCTTTGGGTTCTTCCGCGCCGTACACGGAGGAGGGCCGCAACCTGCTGCTCTCGGGCGTAGGCATGAGAGATGGCTGCGCCCGGCCGTTGGACGGTCCTGTTATCGAGAAGGACCTGCTCCTGTTGAAGTCGGTGGCAGAGGATGGCCTCGCCCGGGCCTCGTCAACTCCGTACACCGAGGTCGGTCTGGACCGGTTCACGCTGTACGGGGTGGGTGAAACTGACCTGTTCATCTCCATGTTGTACACGGAGCACGGTCGCGATCGCTTGTACTCAAGGTCGTACAGACCCGACATCCTGGAGGTAATGCCGTCCAGTCCAGACACAGAAGACGATCTTGGCCTGGAGCCAATTCCTCTGGGAATGCAAATGTCACTTGTTTTCATGTGTGGCAGCCCGTGGAAGCTCTGCTGAGACTTAATACTTTGCCTAAAATTTGCAGATGTATCCCCACCCTGCAATCGTTTTTCCCTCAACACAACAGAGCTTTCCATTTTGGAGGAAGAATTCTTATAAGCCAAAAAATCCTTCTCAACATCCTCACTTTTGTCCAGTGATGGGAACTTAAAAATCCTGCCGTCTAGATCTGGTTTTCTGCTTTTGCTTTGGCTTGATATATACGGTGGTGTTAGCTGCTTTGCTGCCTCTTTCTCCAAAGTTATTCGACTCATACTGTATTTGTCAGATCTTGATGCATTCCTGTACTTATTATCATTAAGGTCAAACATCAAAGGACTCACCACGTGATCTAACGACTCAGACCCCCTGCGAAAACCTTGCTGCATTTGCCTTTTCATTTGTTTTTCAAGCGGATCTACGGACGCCTCATCGGACAAACTCCGAAACGGGTGGGCTCTAGTTGCCACGGGGATTGCGATAAAGTCGTTGGCCTTGTCGGGTTTTTTGTTGTACCGGGAATGAGCTCTTCCTTGGCTTGAGGATCCCACAAAATCATTTAATTCGGTCGCGCTGGGTAGACTCCTGCTGTAAGCGCCGTCTGAATTCTGAACGTCCATTCCATCCACGAGAAAGCCTCCTCCAGTCAACTCACTGATGTCATCTATGAGGACATAATTGCGTGGCACCTGCTGATCCAGGTCCGTGTAAAACGATTCTGCTGAAATGCTCGATAAGGGACTGCCCACGATGCTGCCTCGATCGTCGAGAGGCAGCCTCATGTCGACGCTCTCGCCCAGGCTATCTGTCGATGTTGGGGACATCATGAGGGGATCGTGGCTTTCAATGACCTCGTAATTTGTCAATAGTTTGGGCTCCATGCTGGACATTTGCCCATTGATAGGCTTTTGAGAATGGAACTGCAGTTGTTTATGACTGTACTGTTGATATGATGAGATTTGGGTGGACTGACATCCTGGTGAGACAGAAAATCTGTCACTAAGTTCTTGACTTTCAGACCTGGACGCACCAATATTGTTAGGGACTAATGCATGGTCCGATGCAGACAAGTAGCTGTGCTTGTGGTAGTCTGATGGAGAACTGGTCATGGGAATGAACATTGCAGGTGTTTTATTTGCAGATCCATCATCTTTGTTTAACAAACTAGATGATTGAGAATCAATGATGCCCTGGCTGTCTGTCATGTACCCGTCATGCTTGCTGTCCCTTGTCGGGAATTCCACTGGGCTGAACACGTGCTGAAAATGTGCGCTACTGCGGTGGCTGCTCTCCGAATATTCACCGTACGGTTTGCAACACTGCATGGCCTCGGCCGTGTAGCAAGAAGATTGTGCTTTGTAATGTGCATCCGCGACACAAGAGTCCTGCTGCTGCTGCTGCTGCTGCAGCAGGAGCAGCCGATCGTCCGTCTTGCTGCCTCGAGTGGCCCCGTCGTGCCCGCCGAGGGAAACCTCTTCCGGCGCCGTCCTCGCTCTCTCCGAGTGCTGCCCGCTTCCCGCTGACTTTGCCTGACCAACGCGCGCCTCGCCGTCCGATAGGCAGTCGCGGCTGTGGCCGCCGGCCTCCCGCAGGAAGTCCATCTTCCTCTTCTCCCTGTCCCTGACGAGCGCCTCTTTGCGTCTCAGCATGCCCATCTCAAGGTGGCGCAGCTTGGCGTCGATCTCGCGCTCCTCCTCATCGAGGCGCGCCTGCTGCTCACGCAGCTTGGCCGACTCCTGCTCCACTAGCTCCAGCTCCCGCTCGATGTCCTGACTCAGCTGTCCGCGTGCGGTGCCCTGCCGGACTTCGGCGTCCTTTGGCCTCGGCTGGAACACCATGCCGCTGCCACCGCCACCCCCGCCGCCGCAGTTGCTGCCGCCGCTCGGGGCTCGCGAGATGCTCGTGCCCTCGTGCGCTCTGCGCAAGTCCCGTGCGGCTCCCGCCATTGGCACCGCCGCCTTGCCACTGAGCTTGAGCGGTGCGGGGGCACGGGCGGACGACGAAGCTGTGCAGGGGGCATGTGCGGGAGGCGTGGGCAGTGTCCGCTTCATCGGTCTGCCGTCGGCTACATCATCTCGAAGTTGGATCTGAAACAGCAGAACGGAGAGAATCAGATTTAGCAACCCCCCCCCCCCCCCCGGTTTTGATGTGTGCTACGGAAGGCATCGTTGGTGATCGGGCCACACGACAAGGAAAGGAGAGAATGCCACATTTCTAAATTGGGGCAACGGTGTTTTTTTCCTCCAATAAAAGAGGAAGAGTAATCACGGAGGAGTGGCATTGTCAGATTGTCAGTCTCTCCGGGTGTCACACGCGAAAAAGGTTCCGGTTAAAGATTTCATCAAGTTCTCTAGACACTAACAAGTTAAAGATTATGCCCAGTATACGCTCCCAACAACAAGCCACGGCAAGTAGATCAAATCAGCGAGGAAATGACCTCGTACCTAAAGTGGGAGTGAAGCGCATTATTACCATTACAGTCGATCATTGATAATTATCCGGCACCACGCGATTATCCAACATTATCCAGCAATCCCGGGCCGATCCGGAGAAATCGTCAAAACCACTCCAATCCGGTTATCGGCAAGCACCATGTGCGTGACAGAAAAGCTAGCCACGCTTGATTTCAGTGTTTAATATTATATACAATACATTATACGCTACATACAACAACTTAATGAAAATACCGGAAGTATGTACATCATCCCATGCAGAGTCTTTGAATTTTTAATGGTAAGTACGGTACAGTAAATAGAGTAACTTTTTTAAAGTAGGATATTTATTCGTCTATTCGTGTGTTTATTTATGCCAATTTCATATGGTCAAAATTTAAACACTAAAAAAAGATAACGTCATACAGTAGTGCAAAAATAAGCTATTTTAAATAATGATGATGTGATTATCCAGCGTTTTTGAAAATCCGGCGCCACCCGAAGCTGCCGGATAATCGATTATCTACTCTATTATTATTATTGTTGTTGCATGCACGGCTTTTATCTAGCGTCTCCTTTCAAACAGAGAAGCACGGTCTCAATGGGCCTCTTAATAATATAGCCCCACTGATCGATCCACTGCTGGATGAGGCCTACCCTTCACCGCTGGCGGCGGTCATGGGGGGGGGGGGCTGTTTTGGCCTCACGTCAACGAGCCGCGCCAGTCGCCCGCACCTTCAGGGTATGGGCGCTTGCTTTTTCCATCGGCTATTTGCGGGGCCGAGCCAGAGCCAACCGCTAAAGCTCTGACCTCACGAGACATCTAAAAATCTGGTTTCTGGGTGGGGGGGGGGCAAGCAGGGTCAAGGGAGAGGTCAGCGGGGTTCATCACACAACGAATCTAGACTTGGTAATTGCGTGTGCCCGTCGGCAGTGCAGCTCGGTCACTGCGGTGGAAAAAAATCACCTCCTGAGCTATGGCGGGGAAGAAACACGAGATGGCAACTGCAGCACTACGTCAAAGCGTAATCAAGGATAAACCAAATATGCAGGGGCTGTTACGATTGCGGAGGGCATGGGGGCGGGTTGTGAGGATGCAGCACCTGTCAGGAGCTGCCATCCGAGAAGAGAGTTTTACCCCCTGCAGGCATTGTTCATCATTCGGCAATAACACGGGGCACTGGAGGAAATACGAGGATTGATCGTGACTGTGACGCATTAATTCAGCACGCAACACAGTGAGAACTTTTCATTAATCAATCGGGTCATGGTGAATTCCTGATTCTCTGTTACCCCAGGCTCGCAATGAACAGAAATTACAAACACTAGCACAGCAGCTTGAGGCTCTTTTACCGTACAATTTGAAATGATAAATCTACACGCATATACAAGTCATGAGCATTATTTGTAGCCGGATAAGAGCACACCGAGGCAAAATACTATTTTGGAAGGGAGGTCTGGGATGCAAAGCGTGGAAACAAAATAACAAAACATCTCAATGATGAAAAAACATAAAAAAGACGTCAGTCGAAAAATAACCTACAATACTTATCAGTGAAGCAAAATATAAACGTTCGTGGAGCTGGGAGGTCCAATGATTTGAGTTTAAATTACTTCGATTATCAGTTGAATGACTCGACTAATCGGATAACACGAAAGAAGGCCCCCCGTGTGTGGGAGTTGATGGGTGGGACGTCATCAGCATCCTCATTATCTGTCAAACTGGGAGTGGCTTGTAGGGGTTTCCCTCCTTTGGGAAGTAAATGTGGTGGGCGGTTGCCATTTTTTAAAGGTGCCCAAGTAATTGACCAGATAAAAAATATTCGATGTCAACGTTTTGTTGATTCATTCACTCATCGTGCCAGCTTTACAAAGCAATTCTGACCACCTGGCGGAGACAATCCCTTTTTACCTGATGGCTCAGTCCAATCCTGAATCACGCCTTGCAGAATTATAGTTAACAAGTGGCTGAATTCATTTTAATTAAAATGTGGGAAAAGATCATGCTGCAATTTTCTTTTTAACAAAAAAGTAATTAGCCATCACGTGAAAAGGCAGTCAAATAATGACTTCCAGCGCAATATGAATTGCACCCAATAAATCTCGAACCAATGCTGTCACGGTATGCCCTCAAAATATTTCGTGTCACGCAACTCGTATTCAATGTTAACTGTCTCATCGTTACGCAGCGGTAACGAATGAGCGACTATTACTGTGCTGGCCTTTCAAAAGCATATCCCGCATGGCAGCTGCCTGGATTTAGATGACAACGATTACGCACATTCAGCTCGAATGAAAAACACTTTGCCATCACATCCCAATTGAAGAATCAAGTGGCGTCTTATGAATTCCAGTGAACCACCAAGCCGCACATCTGCACCCTCAAGGACGCGCGAGTGTAAGACGTGAAACCGATGCTGAAGCGGGCACACTGACATCAAGAGCGTTCGCGTAACCAAGCAGCAACTACATTATAGACAAGTGGCCTGGCCGAGATATTGCAGTTAGCACACGTCCATGAGAGGAGGGTAGTAGGAGTGCAAGGGGCCATCCATTGAGTACGTTCGCAAAAATCTGTCAAAACTTGACCCCTCCCTGTAGGCACGCGTACTTTTTACACCCCCCAGCCCCACCCCACCTGTGCGTACGTACGCTTGACGCACCCCCCATTGTCAGTAGACCCACCCATACGCAAGCGTACACATTTGTGTTAACCCCCCCTCCATGCGTACGTGCTAAATGGATGGCCTATAATGATGTCTCTAGTTGCCAGAACATTGCTCCCTGCACAGAAGCCCCCTTCTTCACTCCGCTGTCCGGATATGGAACTGCCTCCCCGATGAACACATTGTCAAAGAAATCACCGACTCTGGTGTTCAGGCCTTCGAATGGCGAGCACACACGTGGTACATCTCCTAACTTCACCCGCACGCCTTGCAGGGACTGAATCTTTGAGCTGCAGTGAACCCCATTATTCATGGCCGCTTAGATGTACTAATGTCTGATATGGATATTGTTCACAATTGCACGCAATAAAAAAAAACATCTATTGAATGGTTAATATCGATTGTTAAGGTTGACGAGGAGAGCTGGGCTATCTGATGATATACTCTGATCGATTACTCTACCAATTGTCGCTTCAATTGCACAACTTCTCAATAACGTGAAATTACTTTGAAGGGATAAAAAAATGTACCCCTCTGTTCACAGGTGTGTCGCTGGACGGGAGGTGATTGGTCAGGGCTTGGCGCCAATCTTGCGCCATCAGCAGCGTCACGCTGGGCATGTCTAAAACCTACCGTCACACCCTTATCAGTGCCCTACCTGATTATCGACGAATTCAGGCCTTATTGGTCACCCTTATAAATATCAACGTTCATCCTACAAAGTCACATCACAAGGGGGAACTAAAAACATAATAAAAAAAAAATGTGCCCGTATTGAAACAGCTGTACGCTGTATGGACCTGAAAACTCAATTACCCCATACAAGAATCCGGGTAAATCGTATGGGTTGTGACAGGTATGTTAACAAGGGGCAGGATGTTGTGGTGGTCCTTATTTTTTCAAGTTGCCTGAGTAATCGACCACAACAAAAACGTAGCCGATTTTATATCCCAGTCGATCAACCAATCGGCTTAGCAAACCTAAAGAACCCAGCCTCCAACTCGTGGTGGATGATTCGTTGCAATGGTGTAGGAATGGACATTTGCGTGCGCATTACACACGCCAATGATGCAAACAAGACAGACAAACAGAATGTGAACACACAAACAAGGCGGTAAAAGCAAGACATAAATAAATAAATTAAATTCCTGAATCACATCGCCGGGGAATGAAGGCTATTGCCATAACTCTCACCTAAGGCGGTGGGAGATGAGAGTTTATAAACTCTAAAGGGAGGGAGGAAGTGTATTGATATTGATAATTCCAAGGGAAGATGTTTACCAGAGGTTTGCTGTAGAGGATAAACAATCAGATAGGCGCGTGCTTGAAGGAAAATCAATGCAGGTTTCGAGCAGGGACGGTTTGTCAAAATCAGATTTTATCATTAATAATAATTTAAAAAATACGTTCATCCCTCTGTCATCATCAACCAGGATCAATCCACTGCTGAATGACGAGCTCCCCAGTCGTCACCGTTTATCACCGTTCTGCTATGGCTATGTAACAATCCACCCGGAACCTGTGCATGAGCTGATTTCATCGCTCCATCTCCTGAGCGGATGTTTTTAACCTGCGTATCTCCACCGATCCACATGTTCTTCTATGTGTTTCTTAGCGTAATTCCAAGCATGCATGCGTGTGTGTGTGCGTGTACACACGCACACGTCTCTGTGTAAGCACACACACACAGGTGGGGAGCGGTGGTGTAGCGGTTAGCGCGACGCTGCGCTACGAGCCCAGCGTGTCCCGAGTTCGATTCCCGCTCACGGCCAACACCAGTGACGATTATCTGAACCGGTCCTGGGCATCCCCTAGGTCGACTCAGCCTCAAATAAGTACCTGGTGCGATGTGTAAACATCGCCACTCGAGAGACAAATGCGGCCGGGCGTGGTGTTGGCCACCCACCCCCTCGTGTGCTGTGCCGACCTTCATAGCTGAATTTGTTGAAACGAGCATTCTAAACTAGTTTCGATCTTTTGGCTCTCATC